ACTGCCGTCGATCCAGGTGCCCACCGCGGAGCACCACATGGCTACCCTGTCAACCAGCCCTCGACTACGCGCGAGCAGCTGGCGGTCACGGTCAGGCAGTCGTCCCGCCGCGGCTGCTGCCTTTGCTGCGCGGTCTGCCAGGCGATTGCCGTACCAGTCCCGATGCGACACCTCCCCATCCTCGACCTGCTTCCTCGTGCAGTGGCTGGGCAACCACCGCAAGTGCACCTCTCCTCCGAGACCTCCGCGTTCGTCCATCAGAGCCCACGCCTGCCTCCGCAGGTGAGCCCAGGAGTACCCGCTGGCCGTCGTGCGCTCCCGCCCCACCAGGTAGAAGCCGTCAAACACGTACTTCGAGTCCACGACGAGCACCGTGCCACTGTTGCCGCACCTCAGCGCCATGACCACCGCCGTGAGCTCGCTACCGTTGATGTCGACGTACGGCCCGCCCACTTGGCCAGCGATCGACGCCTTGTAGCTGTCCCCGTCCTCTAGCAATGCGACGACGCTCCAGCCCGCCGAGGTGAACTCTCCGTAGTCCGCCTCAATGACCGAGCCGTCCAGGAACAGCTCACCGGCTGGGAGAACACCTCCATCGTGGCGGCCCTTCCAGCAGACCAACTCGCTGGCCTGAGGCTTGCGAATCCCTTTGGGCACCGGCCACAGGCACCTCTCCAGCAGCAGCTGAATGCCAGGCTCCTGCCACCTTCTCCTGAGGTCAGCGAGGTCGGGGGGCATGACCAGCACCTCCTGCCAGCTGGCACAGTCACAGTGCCTGTGCAGCAGGGTGCCCTCCAACCCGCACCTCAGGCAAGCGGCGCTGCTGGCCAGCCCCTTCTCCGCCTTCCTCGCCTGCGTCCACTGCCCGTTGACGATGAGGGACCGCAAGTGCGCCTTCTCGTGCTGCGTGAGCTTGACCTTGCCCGTGCCAGCTCCTTCACCTTGCCGATCTCCTGGGCAACGCACCCTGCCCGTGGTGGTCGGCCTCGCCGGCGGCTCCAGCTCTCCTCCTCCCGCAAGGTGGCTACACACTGGGTCCTTACTGACCTGCCTCCACTGCCACCTCTGTACACCACGCATGACCAGCTTGAGGACGACCCACGGCGCGTAGTCGAAGGGCGCGATGGCGGTGCCGTCGTCCATGACCCAGCAGTTGGCCTCCACGACCTCCCAGCCGATCCTCCTCAGCGACATCACCGTCGCCGCACATGGCCCCTGGACATGAGCCCAGGCAGTGGCTCGCTTGTCCTGCAGACAGTGGACAATCATGTGGAACGGCACCCATTTCTCCCACATCGCCCGCAACAACATCCTCACTGGCATGCATGTCGCGTCGAAGATCGGGTCGAGCCCATGCTGGAGGAGAAGCTCCAGCGACCTGCTCTTGCTCGCCGTGGCGTTGGACACCGCCACGAACGTGAAGGACCTGGCGCGGTCCAGCTCACCCATGGCGCACCCTGTGATGGCCATACCGTAGCCGATGCTCGGTGCAACCCTGTCTTCACAACCCTCCTCGTTGCGACCCTCTTAGCCTTCGCAAGCTTGAGCACCTTGAACTTCCTTAACCTCTGCCCCGCCTGCTGGAGGCGGCCCGCGCGCACGGCCCGCCCCGGCCTCTTGCCCCCGCTGAAGTCGACCCCGAGGTTGCGCTCCTGCCCAACTGCCAGCACCCCCAGCGGCTTGCGCAGCCTCCTCTCCAGCTCCTGCCTGGCCTCGGGCACGTTAGCTAAGGCCCTGGACTTCTTGACCGCGACCGCAAAGTCGACCTCCCCGAGTAGGGCTTTGAGGTGCCTGGCCGCCGTCGTGATCTCCCCCACGGCGCGCTGCAGGCCGCCGACCCTCCTGATGATGATGTCGTCCACGACCACCGAGAGGGACACCGACGGCGCCAGCGCCTGCAACCTGTCCAGCGGCTCCAGCAGCAACATCTTAAGCATGAGCGTCGCCAGCCCATCACCTGGCAGTGCCGCCTGATCCGTGTAGATGGGGTTGCTGACCGCCTCGTCGCGCGCAAGCCATCTGGCAGACCTGTACAGGCTGATCTGCAGCTTGAGTTGCCACAGCGGAAACCCTGTCCTCTTGGCAGCACGTATGAGGTGTCCATGCTGCACCGGCTCGTGCGCTTTGAGCAGGCCCAGGAGCACCAACGCGGCCACCCAGCTGGAGGCGTCGCCCGCCTCACGTCCTTTGGCTGAGGCCCACTCGCACTCCACCGCCTGCTGCCAGACCGCCCTCTCGCATCCTTTGCCTCTGGACGCCCAGAAGAAGGGCCTGTCATTCCTGCGCTCCCAGTCCACCGCTGCTGGCCTCCGCAGCCTCGCCTGCATCCTCGCGAGGACGTGGACGATGGCCACTGGCCTCACACCTCCGAGCCTCTTGGCCAGGAAGACGATCTTGTTGTGGAGTTGCGGCCACTCCGCCGCCTGCTCGACGGCCATCACGACATCGATGAGCGTCTCTAGGCCCTCGTCGCTGAGCTCCAGCATCTGCCGCGGCTTGACCGCCTCGAAGCCCGCTGCTGTGCCCTGCCCGAACGTCCTCAGCACCGCCCTCATCTCATCAACCGTCGGCCTGGCAGGCCCCGGGCCCAGGTCACAAGGCCACACTAGGTCCTCGTGATCACACTGCACCCCCCACAGCTTGCCCCACTCCTGCTCGAGGGCATCCAGCTCTTGGCACAGGGTGCTTGGCCCAGCCGACGCACTGCAATCGCTGCCCTGCCAGCCCACGCCCACCCGAGTGACCGCGTG